ATGTATTTCTATGTAGTATGAATAGCTCATTTACTTCAACAATATATGATATTGATTTATAAGTATGAAATTTTTATCATAATCATATACGTTTTCTAAAACATCACTGATATAGATGTATTTAAAGATAGTAGATTACGTCGCGATGTATATTCAATCTTATTTTTATAGGAAAAAAGAACAACTTTACAGAATAAGTAACTTGGTCAAAGTTAAAACTTGATAATGAGTAAGATCTTTATATGATATAATATAATATAATATGTCTCGTTATAATCGATATAGTTTTTTTCATATGATAATTGCAATAATCTTACAAGCTGTTTATATATGACTTTTTTCGAATTTCTAAAATGTAATGACAAAATGATTGATAGATAGTTTAAAAAGAAGATTTTGTTCATATCTCAGTATCAATATAAATATATGCGTACACATAGTACATACGCGACATATTTATCTACAGTATTAGTTTAACTGACTTAAACATAGTGCAAATCAAATATAGAACATAGAAACAGTTAAAGCGAAGAATGTAGTGTAAATGTTTTAGAATGTCACACACGATATTCACGGGATTGCTCTAATTGTTACGAGTAGAAGTATACTGCATAACTTTAACTACCCAACAGTATAGGAATAGAACTTAGATAAGTCACGTTTTGAAAGAATACGATGAATAGTCTCTGTGCTGCTTTTTACAATTATTATTCCATCAGTGGTCCAAGCGCCGAGAATTACTTTATTTTTAACAAGTTGGCGTGCTTCATATAGAAGTTCAGATCTAATTTTTGTTAAATCTTCATTAACAAAGGTTTTCGTGTGGCCTTTAGACTTCAGAAGAGCACGCTTCTTGAGAAGTTTATCTCTAGAGCGACGAGAGGCGAACTTCACCAAGATATCGCGCGGCTTTCCAGATGATCTAGGTTTACCGACTCGTTGTGACACAGCTATTTCATCTAAGCTCAAGTCAGCACCAATGCTTGAGCTCATATCAAGTATGATTTGGTCGGTGTTTTCATCTTTGTTTTCTGATATACCTGTGATACGCAGATTGTCACGACGACTATATTGTTCTGTAGCGTCGGCTCTGAGCTCAAGTATGTCAATTCGGGTAGATAGTAATGTTTACACAATGGTTTTAGAGATTGCTAGTTGCTTTTTACCGGAAGAAAGTAGCGATAATGTGAAATAATTGTTCATGGAAGTTGAAAACAAAGTAATATTTTGACTTCCATACAAAATAAACATTGACTTAAATATACTTATTGCTAAAAAGCAACAGTTGAAAAAAATGGTTCGGGTAATTAGCCACTGAGTAACGTTTTGGATACTATAAAAATACATCAATATTAAAAAGCTTTTGAGAAATAAAATAAAAAGTATTTCTGGAGCATAAGGGTGACTTAAAATAAGAATGCTACAAATACAGGACGTGATCCAACTTAGAGATGACACACAAACAATGTTTGCGTGTATAGACATCATTACATTTTATTGTCAAAAACACCTTTCAATGTCAGCTTAAAACAACAGTATTTGCAGTATCTGTAAAAAAGGCAATATATAATTGATATTAACGTATATCTGAAAATGTATTTTAATTTCGTCTTGTTTCAAAAAGGCACCGATGGCTGTCTTATATTTTTTAATTTTCAAAATGCTATTTCTTGCTTATTGAAATTTCCTGATGCATTAAATCTGCTTCTTGTGAACATTAATGTATGGAAATGATATTCAAAACTGTTGGAGGCACGAGACATTCTCGTAGAAAGAGAGAAAATTGATGGCCTCAACTAAAGTTTATGTTTCCGTTCAAATAATTTAGTTTCTATTTCTAGCAACATGCACTTAAAATTTACATCCAAATGAATAATTTTACCCATTGCTTAAATCAAGAGAAATTTATATCGGCTTCAATACGGATATTACAAATTTAAAGCTTTAACCTGACCTATATTATTTGCAAGGTGAACTGGACCACCTTTTTGGGGGGCCCGACAATTAGTCCTGTCTAATATTCAAAATATCATGCAATCCTATTTCAACCACAAACTATGCTTAAAATGTATGGAGCAATACATTAAAGATAGAGATATCCGAGACAATTTGCATTATATTGCCTCCTTTGGATTTCAGTGTTATAAATCTATTTATCAGTAATGTGTCCGCTATAAACTTTGTGGTGATATTTAATTTTCTCATTCAAATGATGTTATTTTTTATTTCGTCATCGGTTGATCGGATAAATTTGAGAAATTATGCCACCTCGTTTTACCTTTCAAATATATTTCGTGGTTTCAAACAAAGTAGATCAACAGCCATGCCATCAAAATCTGTTTCTATCGGAATACATTATAAATGTTAGTGATGAGCACAAAACAATATGATTATTTGACGTTTAGGTTATATCATTTCAATCTGCATTTTTATAGTGATATATTAACATAGCTTTCTGTGTGCTGATTTTAAATTACTTTGTTGCATTATTACTTAATTGCTCCGACGAATATTTGAATAATGTGATAAAACCTCTCAGAATTAGGGAGACTAAGTTAATGTAAAAATTAAGAGAAATCACGTTATTTAAAGTCATGAAAAAAATAAGATTAAACATTTTATTTTAACTCGATTCTAGCGTAAAAAGCTGCTCACGCAGGTATACATAAATGTAGAAGACTTCATGCATTAATGCACTAAACAATGTGCATTAAAATTCTGAAAATTTGTAGTGTATTTAGTGCATATGAAACACCCTCGGATCCTTAACTACAAAGTTTTGTTCTCTTTCTTTTTGGTTGAATTAGATAAAGCTTATTAAATTTAGTATGTGAAGACCGAGGGTGTTAATGTCACATGGCGTTTATCTAACTATACTAGTGATAAACCTCAGATGCCACTCCATGCATTATGTCAGGCACGAGCGGGCACCTGAGGTAGCTGGATAGCACCCTAATGAAAAAATCCCTTGCGATATTTGAACCATCATTGGTGAGATACCTTAAACACTCGGTCTAGGACGACCCATTACTTAGTATAAGCTGGTATCCTGTACTGAAACCTAATCGCAATAGAAGGAAAATAATTCGGAATATTTCGGTTTAGAGGAAAACACCTTAAACGCCAAGAAAAACTTGCACATCCTTGCAAGCTATTCGATTGACTGCTCATTATTTGTTTTCACCTTGACAATAACACGGCTGCAGCAAACAATTAAATGTTATTAAAATTACGATGTCTTATTCTGTGAAACGATAATAATAACCCATCGTGCTTAATTGATAAGATACATCCGCATGTAATATACTTATTCACATCGGATTATATAAGAAAATAATTACATGAATGGGTGTCACCTTTAGAATGACAAGAATAATACATTTAAAGGTTAATCACACAATGCACGTGACATTTACATATTAACTTACATTCGCCAGACTTATTTCCAAGAAAATTAAACGTGTATTACGAAATTCTCTATAATCTTACTTAATACGTTTTTATGATCTTGAATAAATGGAGACAACCATGTTAGCTTAAAAACATCGCTGACATTTTTAATAAGTTAACCATTTCTGTCAAGACATGTTACTTCACTTTACTTTAAACTTCTATCTAAATATACACGTTTTGAAGATGTGAGACAGAATAACTAAAAATTTGCGCTCTGAATGCTGTGGATCACTGTTAATTATGATTTGATCATTGTGCATTTAGTATTCTATATGTCTTTTCTTATACATGCATTTGAGAAATTGAGCTGTAAACGGGTTATTTATTTTGTTGAAGTAGTCAATCCACATGATAGTTGTGGAAACCCTTAAAAATTGATTATTGAATGTTTATACCGAAACAGTAAAAATGTTTGGCAGCACAAAGCGATTGTTAGCATTGCTTTACATATCGTGTCATTTCATAAACTGCATATTTGATAAATTTAGCTTTATCGTACTTCCCTAGCTTTATAACTCGTCAAAACAAATTGAATTGAAATAAAGAATGGAATATTTGTATCTACTACAAGTGTGAAATAATTAAACTGATAAACTTTAAATCGCATCGATTTTTTAAATATAAAAGCCTCTTTTACAATTGACTAAAATCATTTGAAACTATTTCTTATCGATAATCCGTGGTTGTAAAGTCGCATACCATTGCGCTTGGTATGACCTAAAGAATGGTTGGTTTCATTTAGAATTTATTTTTAAAAGAATAGGAAATTAAAATTGAAAACATGATATTAAAAAGAATATCAGATAAGTATTTGATTTAGTTTGTTTCTCAGGCTCGGCACGAATAAGAAGGAACGGAAATTTACAAAATTATGCAACAGACGTGTCATCTTTGGTAATCCATGTAAAAACGTTTTTTATTTGAACATGCTTTGGCACGCTGCAATCCTTTACCGACAGTAGACATTTTGTAATTGACATTTCAAAGGCCTCTATCGAAATGATGCACATTTAATTAAATACGTTTATCTACAAAATAGTTATATCTGCTCAATATGTTAACGCGCTTACGTGACTTTGTGATGAATTAAAGCACCTTATATGGATCTAAATCTTGTTAATGACGTAGTCAATCATCGCTAATTCTTTAAGATTTATATTAAGCACTTTATTCATTAATGCGTTCATGTTTTCACAACAAATGTTTAAAGCAAGACATTCAATCTAGAGTAGAATATTTCAGTATCTATGAAATACAATATATATCAGAATGATAAAAGGCTTAACTAAAACTGACGATTTATATCAAAAGGCCTAAATTCAGTATCTTTTATCACTACAAAATTGTAATCTATTCCATTTTCACATTCGTGAACATATCCTCTTTTATGTAAAAACCATCACTATCTTGAAATTAATTAAATGTGTAAAAACCATTCCGACATTCCTTTCTAGCTAGGTCTTAATCTCTTATAAGTTGTTTATAATCTTTTTTACAAAGGTGAAGAATATGATGGATATTTTCGTTGCTGGTAGATGGTTCAACAAAATGTAGTATCGTATACGTTATATGGTCAAGAATAGATTTAAGATATAGAAATTAAGTGTTTATTTTACTGACTGATAAAATAATAAAAAAGATATTGAAATATTTACCGACGGATTTGTTTTGTGGTTTCATTTCCTTACTTCAAGGTTCATATGATAATCTTCTGTAATTGATATTTAGTTTGGTTTTTTAAAGTTATATACTTACAATAGTATATATTAGTGAATATTTTGCACCATTCACCTTACCAGGATGTTTTTTTCTACATGAAAAGGAGGTAAATTTGGCTTCAGAAGGTAATTAACATAGCTTTGTCATTTTAACTTCTTTTTTATGACAGTTTTTTCAGTATTATACTGTGTTTGATAAACGTCTAGAATACCAAAAATATATATGCGATTTTGACGTACAATGTAATCGTACATGCACTTATTACTTTTTCAGGGAAAGAATGCGAAAACAATATCTAACAATTTGGGTGGTATTGTAAGAATATATAATAGAATAGAGGGTTAAGTTATCTGTCACGACACTTTAAAGGCAAGGGATTTAAAAGCATCTGTAGATATTTGTGAACTAAAAAAAGGTGCAGAAGCTCTATACTTACATGTCTGATTCGGTTTGTCTGCCTTTTGTTAATTGTTTTTCGTATAAACATGTTACGCCGCGCTTCTGTGATTTAACGTCATTGCAGTAAGCTCTTTTTACAAGGTGCACTGAAACGTTGAAACAAAAATAGCACACAGGAGACGATCGTCACAATGTTACTGTAGATATTGACATTATAAAAATAGAACAATGCTATGATTTAATCGGAAGGATGGTTACCCGTGAAACATAACATAAAGATAATCTTGTCTGAACAGCTGGTTACTGAGAGAACTAAATTATACTGTTTATGACTTAAACATATGGTGACATTAATGAGCGTGCAATGTACATAATATATTATCATTCGCAAAGTATAGATTACTTAGTGAAATTTTGATTAAATTAAAGTTTAATTACTTACCGGCAATGCAATCACACATATGGTGTTTGAACGTTTGGCGTGTGAAAATGGTTTATTTACACTTTAAATAGAAAAAGAAAAAAAAACGACGGTCCAAAAAAATGACCATGCCATGCGGAAATTTCCTAGCCATATGCGTTTTGTGCCTTTTATGTTTGCGAAGAGAACCTCCAAACTAATACAATTTCTAATCTACAAAGCAATCACACAAATTGTGTTTGAACGGTTGGCATCAGAATATGGTGTGTTTTCTTTACATTGTAGATTGATATGAAGAATCATATTTAATTAAAGATTGAGGTAATACAAATAGTCTTACATTGATATAAAAACCCCATTTAATAAGAGATAGATGAAATATCTTAAGAAATAAATTATACGGAACTTATTTAAACAATATTCAAAAAACACTTAGTAGCAGTGACATTGTTGGAGAACAATGTCAAATTAGTAAAAGTGGTAATGCACTAAACGTGCAAATGAATTAAACAGCTTTTTGCTATAAGCAAAACTAAAGTTACGTATACTTGTATCATTTATCCAAATAAAAAGAAAAAGAATGTCGTTATATTTATTTAAATATTGACCTTGAATTCTTAGCTTAACATGAGTAGCTGTGTTGTTATTTAAAGTCTTCTTAAAATCATCGGCCTTATTACAATATCAGTAACATATTTTAAATGTTTCTGGTTTTGATGCGCATGGTTTTTTCGATACTTCTCTAATGCTAAATACTTTATTGTATTAACGTTTAAGCTTTTTATGAGGAAATATCTTACAACCATTAACGTTCATTTTTACCAAAAGAAATTTGCCTTTTAAGATCCAATGAGCATATTGAAAAACAAGGTTCTTCACCAAGGAAATATTTAGGTTATTTACAATTATTTTCCAGACTGTCCATCCGCACTCCTTATTTACAAATGTACCACCTTTAATTCCACAAATAGAACAATATAAAGATAGGGAGTGGGACTGTACCGAAGCTTGTAAAACACTCATATTATCAAAAAAAAATGTTATACTTACTTTCATAGGTAAATTAATTATATTAATTTTCAAACCTGATTACTCATTAAAAGCCACCGGTGACAACACATGCATAAAAAAGAGAAGTGCAGACAGCTTTGCAAGCTGTCTAGGTCCTTTGGTAGTGCGTTTCTTAGCTTTTTTGCTTTTAATATTTAAACGATACATTAAAAATCAAACAACTTGAATTAAATAAGGATAACCCACTACAATGTCTCAGTAAGTATAAAGTGGATACACTGGACTAATGTGTTAATAGTCTTAAAAGTTTATCTAATAACAAACGTCGGCACTAGTCAGGTTTTATGAGAAAATAATTATCTGAATGAATGTGAACTTTAGAATTACAATCCTAGTTGGAATAAAATAGTCTATTTACAGCTGCGTGACATTGATATAGTTTAATGTTGACAGACTTGTTACCATGACTACAAAACTTGTTTTACAAAATGTTCCACGTTGCTACATGTAATTACGTAGGTAAATTTAGGATCATTAACTTAACGGATAGTGGTTCATCATTAAAAAAGGATCCGCAAATAAGCAGAATGTACGCAAATTAATAAGGATCAATTAAAGATAGCACAGTACTGTTCTGTATTTGTTTCAACTGAAGCGTAGAATTTTGTAATTAAGATGTCGTTATAATTTACTGGTCCTTCGGGATCATTGATTCCTGCACTTTTAAGTGTTGAAAATTGAGAACCACTCAAGCCAGTCCTATATAGGGGGCGTGAGGGATAATGCACTCATGTACAGACTCAAACAGAGTTTACAACTTTCATAAAATTTGGTTGCGATTAATACCCCGAGTCCAGATTTGTAATAGTATCTTTACCTACGATTTTTCGTAAACTTCTGTCTGATTATTGCTGGATAACTAATGAATACGATTATTGCATGCTCGGCCCGAATATTTCAACGACGTAAACAAATCATTTTAATAGAGAAATCGTCGACCGATCAAGCATTTTACAGCGAGACGGATTTTTATAATTGAATATTTTATAGTGGTTTTAAAATCGTGTCGGACTTAAAAAATATCATCATTATTCCCCCCCCCCATCACCATTGAGTCTATTAACAGACACAAAAATTTAATACATATTCCTATATGATTTGCTAAAAATGCCCCAGGTTAACACTTTAGCGTTGCTACATGATTTGCTATAAATTCTTCCGAGGTTAACCACTTTAGCGTTTAGGTCTATTAGCTTTGGTAGCTTTGACATTATTAATAAAATCCACAAAATTACTGTGTGTGATAACCTAGAACCTTTGAAACTCGTTACATTAAATCGTTAATGAGTAAATAACTTTAAACAATTTTTATAGTTGTACGCACAATATTTAAAATTTCAAGATACGATTTAATGCCTAGATGAAAATACGAGTACGTAATAAAAAATCTACACATGTGCAGGCAAAATGTATGATGACATAACGAGTGATATTAGACATAAATATTAACAAACGTTGTGGCATTCATCAATATTCCCTAGAACGCTGATACACCGCAGACACACCAAGGGAATGCTATATCTAACGACTTGACAAATGTAAGAAATGTTTCTGGCTTATTTTAATAATAACTAAACAAGTATTTTCATTTTTATGTAATTCACGTGTAAGAATGAAACTAAACAGATCCACGGTCTAATAATATTGACTGTACATAGGTACATAAGTTGAGTAATGATTAAATAATAATATGGTTCGGAACATATTGATTCAATACAGTAAATTCACCTGTAAATGAGTATGATCATTTTTGTTATAATGTTCTTGCTTAACAGCTTTTTTACTTTATCTAGGTTTCTAGGGGATTATATGACGCTATTTTTGGAATTACACTAGCCTGTTACATTGAAGGTTCCTTGATAACCACCATATGAACACGTTTGCGTGTGTTTTTTTTTAATTCAAAATTTCATCATTTGCGTGTTTTGATGTTGAACTCTGCTTAAGCCGGTGCTATGGGACGTGGACGATCGCTTGCAATAATCACTGCCTCCATAAACCGGCTCAATCAAACCGATCCTACAATATTTTCAATTTGCTGAGCTGGGCTTTCTTTAGGGATTCTGTTCTTCTGTATTTTCTGAGTATGTAAATATAAGAAATTTTAATTTAATTTAAATTCAATCGACATTTTTGCATTAGTTGAATGATTTCCTTCTAAAATTTGATACACTAAAAAGACTTTCCTTTGTATCTTATATATCAACATGTGTCTTTTTTAAGCAGCAAATCTTGTTGTTTGTACAGTATCAAGACTTTTTTTCCAAATTTGTTACAATTCTAATAAGTCTAGTCACAGGTGCATCACAGTATGGATATCAGAAGAATTAAAAAAAAATCAGAATCCCAAATTTTATCGCAGACATCTCTTAATTGTCAATCTTATTAAGCCGTGGTATATTATGTTTATTGCAAGCAAACGTGATTTTCTATTTGACATTTTATCCACCGTTAAATCATGGCGAAAGTATTACTACTCGAAGAGTTTCACATGCTACGTTTTTGTTTTCCATAATTTTTGGTGATTTGATTTCAATAAAACGTCAAATTTTATTCGAGAAAGTTTATTATGAGGAAGATTCTATATGATTAAAAGTAACTAGCCGGTGCTCCGCTATTTCAATATTAGTGATGCCAAATAATAAAATTAGCACTTTCTTTTGACCACTATGTAATATATTCCTACTGAACAATGCTACGCGAATCACGACACTACTTGCAAGGCTTTTTATAAATAGAATAAATCAGAGATAGTAAGAATAATTTTAAAATAATTCGGACAATGTAGGTGCATTGTCAGGTGACACTAATATGACCTGGTCAGCTGAACTTATCTGAAATAGTTAATATGATATGTTGATACTATGATTACTAATCATGTAGCAATGGCAGCATGGTCGGGTTACTCGTTCGTTCATTTTGTATGTTATTTACGTACTCATGTCCACAAGGCTGGATGTAATTAGAACCATTATATTATAAAAAGTGTAAGAATATAGAAAATAGAAGCTTTTTATCATTATCATTACAATTTTGTTTGTTACATATAACAAGACATTTAATGAGTTTACTTGTTTGTTTGTTTGACAGCAGCGAAACCGTATAGCCGTGGACACTAATTAATACTAATACTAATATTAGTATGCAAATATATAAATAGTTATATTACAGTCGTTACTTTTTCAGTTCAAATGCTTAAGACATTTGCCATCATTCACAGAAATACCTATGCAT